CCCTTTAGAAATTGAAGTCAGAGTAATATTAATTTTATTAACTGAAGTATTAATATGATGATAATATTTCAAAATGTTTTTGATAAGTGACTAAAATGCATTGTGTATGAACAATGTTCATGTACTTTCTAAGCTTAGGCTGTTTCAGTTAAATGCTGTTTATTCTGTTTCAGATTTTTCTGCATTAAGAATTTTCTTTTAAGATTTACAATATTAAATCATATCATTATAAGAACCAAATATTCACAAATTTCATCCTAACTTCCAAAAATTTTTATTTGAAATGTCTCAGTCATGCAGATATCAGAATATCAGTCTGCTTTTTCAAATTTTATATTCCTGTAGAAGTTTTATTGTGCAAGTTTTAGATTTTTGGTGATTTGATATTTTTTTAAAACAAAATATTGTCTCACTCCTGAGATTATTATTTTCCCTACAAAGTACACTCTTTGCTTGAATCTCAGCACTGAATCTTTTTTTTTGTTAACATTACTTTATATTCTACTAACTTTTTAAACAGTATACAAAGTATACCATTATATATGACTTTTTAGAAATACTTATCCCAGAAATCAAGCATTTTTTAATGAACCTGGTGATCTATTTTTGTACATGTAGTAATAGTCAGGGCAGTGGAAGAGTCCAATTTATCATGCTTATGGAGTGCTGTTTGTTTCCTTACTCCCAAGAAATTAGTGGGACTAAATATCTGTTTGTTTAACATATGTTTTGATTTAATATACATGCACATTTTACAGTTTACCTCATCAAATAGATCAATATTTTGTCACATTGACAAATAATGAATTCTGAAAAAGTGTATAGTAAAAACCTACACTTAAAAATAAAATGAAATTATTTTTTTTAAGGTAAAATAAATACGAATTAAAATAAAAAATCATTTTTATTTGGCCATATATCAAGAGAAGGCAGATTGACATATTTTTGACACAATAAGAATTGGCTTAATAGATAAATGGAATATTTGTAATATTTTTTAATGCTGAAGTATGAAGTAATATTGATGCTGTCATTAAAGTAGTGCTTACTAATATTCTTTCTTTTCTAGTCTAATGTTTTTTCATTTTTTTGGCATTGTTAAATATCATACAAACCTTGTTAATGGAACGAAAATCTGTGATAGTGTTTTTCTTGTAAATTGAATTAAAGTGTATCTGATCAAAGTAACTTATTATCTTTGTCATGTTTTAATGGTTATAGAAACAATTTTTCAAGATTCGGAATGGAACAAGTTACACAAGGGAATGTTGCATTTTGCAGCATTTAAAAAACTTTAAAACATAGTAGTTTCATTATGCTTTAGAGTGTATTGTGTTTATGTAAGATGACACTGCGTTATCCATGAGAGATGTTGACCTTATGAGGATGTCAAAATGTGAGAGGATGTTATGTTGAAGCTGAACACAACTAGTAAATAGGCATATGCCATTTTTGATATCATTATCTACATACAACACCAATGTATACTCTTTAGATTCGTCACACCTGACTGCTTCATTGTGACAGTCACGGATATCAGCGTGGAATGGCAACCCTTGTTTGTGCTGGTTATCTTGCATTACCTTTGTTTACATTTTATTGCAGTTACGTGTATGTATCTGTGTTTGCTTCTATACTGCACTGACCTGTTCAACTGTAATTATAAGTTTCTTAAGTATTTTACTTTCCTGCATTAGATGATGCATCACGTTATTTTTGTCCCTACCGAGTGCTGTATAGCATACGTCCGTCTATACCGGTGTCGACTGGTCACACTGAAAAGAGAATCAGTCCTGCATTTTAAATAGAGGTCTGTAGCTATAGTGATTCTCCGAACAAAAATGGTAGACACATTTCTTTTACGAATTGTGTTCAGCTTTAAACATAAAAGGATGATGCAAGTGTTAATCACAGGCACTTGTATCTTACAGTATGCTAGTCTTCACTATACAACAACACTTGTGTTACATGTATAATATTGTATAGTGAAATCTAGCTGGCATACTGTAAGAAGCAAGCAACTCATGTGGCAAAAATGTATTTTATTTAGTGTGTACAATATTTGGTAAAAACTGAATTTTGAATAAGATAGCATATTTTTGATTCAGAGCATTGTTCATATTCTTATAATTATGTGAATATGCAGGGCATTTAGCTTTGTACATGATTTAGTGGTTGCTGCATTCCATGAAAGCCACTAAAAAGGAGTCTGAAGTTTTTATCATAAAAAAAAAATCAGGTTTGATGTCTATTTGAAATTGACTGACCAATAGGTGCGAAACCAATACCCTTCTTTTAAAAAAGGGGGAGGGTGTCAGAAAATTTGGTGCTCAAACTGCCTTTTGAACAAATAATTTATCTAAGTAAGGAAATATGAGAAAAACTTGATAAATAAATGTAAAAAGTATTATTCCATGTTACAACATCAGTTTATTAGTTTACAAACATTATATTACATTAATTAAACAATTGATAATAACATAAAATATCCTATAATTATTCAATTATTATAAATTATTCACAATACACTACTGATTCTACATTCCACTAAAAGATGCAATAAAGAAGGATTCTTCTGATATTATAATCAGATTTCAAATTATCGAAGCCTTTGTAAATTGAGGGACACAAATGATGTCACAATGTACTGGCACATGTATCACTTAGATTAAATTTGTCCTTCATTTCAATTATAGTTTTTAAATTTTTCTAAGGAATATTAGTTATTTTTATATGCTACCTATATTTAAAGCCATATATGGCGTAACTGATCAAAAAAATATATTTTTGAAAAATACAAAATTAAGTAAAGAAATATAGTTGATACATATGGCACGCCAAATTCACAAAAATGAGCAAAACATAGTTTCACGGTCGATAAACTAGGTTTATCGGTTGTAAACTATAGTTTACGGACTGTAAACTATAGTTAAATCTATATTTTACATCTGTAAACCATAGTTAACGCGATAATCTATGTTTCACAACCGTAGAACTATACTTAACACCGAAAACAATCATTTGCGATTGCAAAACATAGATTATCTGATAAATACAGTTTCACGATTTGTAAACTATAGTTAACAAACCGTTAACTATAGTTAACGATTTGATAAATATAGTTTCACGATTTGTGAAACTATGATTAATAACTCTTAAGTATAGTTTACGATTGTAAACTATAGTTTACAAACGTGAATTGATGTTTATCAACAAAATCTATTGTTAACGCTTATTACAGACAGATAAACTTAGATTAGCATTCGTAAACTATAGTTAACAACCGTTAAATATAGTTTTACAGATGAAAACTATACTTAACGAATCGTTAACTGTAGTTTACGGTTTGTAAACTATAGTTTACAGTCGATAAACTTAGTTTATCAATTGTGAAAATAGGTTTAGCTCATTTTTGTGAATTTGGCGTGCCATAGATACATTTAAATTAAAGCTTTTCATACAATTCTGAACACGGAGAACCAGGGGCGTAGCCAGGGTGCTTTTGATGTGGACGCCCGAGTAGGCAGGGGGTTTAGAGACCGACTTAAATCCCAAAGTGGGTCCGGGGTAACGCTCCTTGGGAAGAAGGAAGGGGCAAAGCGCCCGGAAGCTAGTGAATTTTCTACGATTTCGATGTGCATAATCGATCCTCCTGATCGCATTTCTCTTACACTTTAAACGTTTGTTACGCAGTCATATTCGAGTCCTGTTCTGTTTTGTACAAAGAAAAAAAAAACAACAACAAAAACGGACAAATATTCAAAATTGAGATAGGATCTGTCCAAATCGCCTAAGGATTGGAAAGTCAATATTAGAATGTATTTGCATTTAGAAAAAAAACACCTCAAAATAAGTAAACAAAACTTCCGGGAAAATCTTATGATTTCAGAACGTTGCATAATCGTTTCCCCCTAAAACTGATCCTGTTAATTTTCATTTTTTTTATCGCTACTCTAAATCTTAATTATTTTTATTTTTAAAATTAGTTACTTAAAACATACATATTTATTAATTTTATTTATTTTATTGCGAAATGATGTGTAAAGTTTAAGAGCATACATTGATATTACCCATGCCCCCTATTTCTCTCCTTTTTTAAAAAAAATGATGTGGACGTTTTTGCGTACAAACGTACGCCTGGCTACGCGCCTGACTGAACACATCGTTTCATCTAATAATACGATTTTATCTTCTCTGGAATGTGTTATTTAAATCTTTTGTATTTTCTACCGAGTCGGAGAAAATTCCGAGAATCCAAATTAAATTGTGAAATTCAGAAAATGTAGATATTTTTTCTGCTTAAATTAACTAGCTTAACAAAGAATTTATTTATTAACAGTTGTAATTAAAAGACTATCATGAGAAGATTTTTTCTCTTTTGTGCGAAATAAATATACAGTTTTTTCATTGGGTGGCACTGTAGCTCTCCGGTCTGTCAATATAATTTTTTTTTTCGGAGAGCTACAGTTCTGCAGCTAACGAGTTGACGTCATTTTTGTGTGCGAGTATGTAGTACGGCTGGGTTTATGTGTACAAGTCGGGGTGGGTACACCTTGACGGGACACTTATCAATGAGGTCTGATCATCATGGTTGTCTCTTTGATATTTCTGCCATTTTCCACTGTGGGATACCACGGACCTAACCAGCTGGCTGAGGCCCAGGGGCCGTTCAGAAAGGCATTGTAACAGTTCTGAAACCACCACCCGCCCTTATATACAGCAGCACAGCTACGATCCGCGCCCTGGTCATTGTCCCTGTCGGGGGTACTGAAGGAGACCCCAGTCAACACAATGTCAGGACGTACGTGGTCTAACACACTGTCACCTATAGAAGTAAGGAAATATCATAATTAATTAATTCAAAACGCGTTAATTGCATTCACATACAAAAAAAACATAAACAAAGCAGAAAGAAACAAGAACAAAAGATTTAAGAAAAAAATCCCTAAGAAAAAAAAAACAAATACAAAAATCAATTAACACCCACCCCCCAACCCCATCGTCCCAAGAAACGGTCCGGAGTCCGCATATATAACTATCTAATTCTCCTAGGGAGAAGATTACATTTTGGCCGTGGTTTGCGACATTTCATTTCCGACATGATCGGGAAAAAAAGAAAAAAAATCAATTTATATTAGTGTAAATAATGGACTAATGATTATGAAAATACGTTTCACTTACCGAAAAAATGTACTTAAAACACAATCATTACTCTGACCATAGAATCTAAAAAAAGGAGAAAGAAATTAACAGAACTGTTGAAAATCCTAGTATCATTAACTTATTTGTCAATAGTTTATTCTTCGTTCATATTCACTATGTAGCATGTTATTGAATATCGAATTAATTGAGACATAAACTCCGTATGCAAGTGATAATAGAACATTGATATACATGTATGTTAGGGATCTTGGCATAATACATACATGTATAATGGCGAAAATCTTGTGAACAGTGAACCCCCCCCCCCTTTTTTTTAACATTGATGGTGACACATTTGACTTATTATTCACCTAACGTCCCGTTGGCCGGCCCTCCAAGAAAAAGTTTGTAGTTGTCTGCTTCATCAGACACAGAAAACATACGATATAGTTCATACAGAGTTGTGTCATTGTCTAATGTAATCGAGGTGTAGAGGGAGGAGTTCTGTCCCTTTGTAAGCTGATGAATGACGTCATTCCCTTCAATGAAACATATGGAAAATAACCAACAGAACTCGAGATCAAAAGTCCATTAAACATTACAAAGAAGGAGCAGAGCACACACGGACCTCCAAAATATCAGAGGAGGGATCAGATGCCATGGAGGAATTAGAAAATGTACGTTTTTATTAATTTTTTAAGCATAAATAACAGAAAACTAAAAAAGTGTTGTTGTACAAATAGGCCTAAACAACATTTGATTTGGATACAGATATGTCATAACTGAGTTAATTTCATTCTTAAATTTAGTGATCGATATGATCAGATATATAAAATGCAAAAAATGAATTTTTACTAAATCATTCAAGACTAGGACAAAAAGAATAGAAAAGGATTTATAAATAAATAAATTTTGAATAATCAGTATTTGTATCACATAATAGTAGTATACACTTATCCACTGGTTGTGAGTGGCCTGGGATAGCTCTTGAAATGATCAAACCCGGATACAAGGGAACTATTCCCCGAGGGCTTACAGGGGAAATGTCAAGGGTTTGATAAAAGAGCTATCACACTCACAAACAGTGGATAAGCGTTTGATTATACTGATGTTTAATATAATTTCCGAGGTTTGAATTTTTTTGTGAGTAAGATAATACTGCAAGAATAATCTGAAATCCTGATGACGTCATAATGTACTGAAGTCGTTATGACATCATCAGTCAATAGATTTATCGCTGTAAATCAAAATTAGTGGCAAAAATTGCATGAAAAAGGGTGGATAAAACTATACCCCGGGGTATAGCTTTGCTATGCGTGAACTATAAAAGATAGCTATTTTACCTTCTGAACTTTATATAGGAAACATTTTAACAGAAGTATAATAAATATAAATATGGTAATAACTATCCACTACGTGATATGGATATGTAAATGCCTATTATTAAGTACAAGATATAAATATGTAAAAACCTAGTATCCAATACGAGATATAAATTTGTAAATGGTAAATACCTATCCAGTGCGAGATGTAAATATGTATAAATACCTATCCAGTAAGTGATATAATTATGTAAATACCTATCCAGTACAAGATATAAATATGTAAATACCTATCCAGTACGTACGAGATATAAATATGTAAATACCTAGGCCTATTCAGTGCGTGATATAAATATGTAAATACCTATCCAGTACGTGATATAAATATGTAAAAGCCTATCCAGAACGAGATATAGATACGTAAATACTTATCCAGTTCGTGATATAAATATGTAAATACCTAGTATCCAGTACGAGATATAAATTTGTAAATACCTATCCAGTACGAGATATAAATATGTAAATACCTATCCTGTACGAGATATAAATATGTAAATACCTATCCAGTACGAAATATAAATACAACTGTATGTAAATACCTATTCAGTATGAGATATAAATATGTAAATATACCTATCCTTTACGAGATATAAATATGTAAATACCTATCCAGTACGAGACATAAATATGTAAATACCTATCCTGTACAAGATATAAATATGTAAATACCTATCCTGTACGAGATATAAATATGTAAATACCTATCCTGTACGAGATATAATATGTAAATACCTATCCAGTGCAAGATATAAATTTGTAAATACCTATAAAGTGCGAGATATTATACAGTTATTGACTGGGTATGAGGGCAACATATGATTTGTTAGACCTGAAGGTGAAAATGTTGCCCGAGGCCGCAGGCCAAGGGCAACATTTTCATCTTCAGGTCCAACAAATCATATGTTGCCCGAATTCCAGTCTATAACTGTTTTGTTATACCCTTCACTGCTCACTTAAGATTGATCAATTTTATCAATACACGCTATAATATCAATTATTTTATATGGAAAATTATGGTTTCTTCAGTAAACATCAGCTGAGAAAGAACAAAATCAATTATAAATCTATTATATCACAAAAAATATTCACAAAACATACTCTTCCCTTCTACCTTACCTTGCTGTTAGCAGCAACTCTTAATAGCTCTTTAACTTCGGCTATTTTCGCGTCGCCGATATTGAACGATGATTATTAATTGTGACGTAACAGACGAGTGACGTTGCGGTCTAATAATTCTTATGTAGGACCGGTCAATAGTGATTGTTAGACCGATGTAAAAAACATTTCTTTTGTTGGACTTTTTATTAGTAATAAATATATAGAATGATATTTATAAGGGTATAACAAAAATATGTAAATATACCTATCCTGTACGAGATATAAATATGTAAATACCTATCCTGTACGAGATATAAATTTGTAAATACCTATCCAGTATGAGATATAAATACTGGAGTATGTAAATACCTATCCAGTGCGAGATATAAATTTGTAAATACCTATCCAGTACGAGATATAAATATGTAAATAATTATTTAGTAAGAGATATAAATATGTAAACATACCTATCCTGTACGAGAAAATACCTATCCTGTACGAGATATAAATATGTAAATGCCTATCCGGTACAAGAAAAAAATATGTAAATACCTATCCAGCACGAGATATAAATATGTAAATACCTATCCAGTACGAGATATAAATATGTAAATATCTATCCAGTACGAGATTTAAATATGTGAACACCTATCCTAAATGAGATATAAATATGTAAATACCCATCCAGTACGTGTCCTCTGGGTCCCCAAAGCCTGTTTTGTACTCCGCCCAGGTTTTGTAGAAACTCACTGATCCACTCCTACGTTTCTGAATAGCCTTACAAAAATTGATTAAATCTTAATAAGATAATTGAACAGTAAACCAAATTTCCTTATTAAATAATCTTATTTACTATATCTCATTTATACACCTGTAATCGCACTCGATAAAATTCTGCAATTTTACAAATTTATACAAGTAAACAAAATCTCAAAAAGAAAGAGAAGTAGAAGACATATATTACTGTCCATCCCCCTCCGTTGATTTCCATATCACAAAATACTTTGATCTGGGTCTGGTTACCGAATGGATTTATTCCATACACGCCAGATCTTGTATATCCATTCATCTCTTTAGAATTATTCAGTTAAGAAGAAGAAGAGGGACGATATGTGCCAGATGGTACGAAAAAGAAAGAGAAGTAGAAGACATATATTACTGTCCATCCCCCTCCGTTGATTTCCATATCACAAAATACTTTGATCTGGGTCTGGTTACCGAATGGATTTATTCCATACACGCCAGATCTTGTATATCCATTCATACAGAGGTCCTTACAGTCGACATTTACCTTCAAACCTGTATAATAATAATAATAATAATAATTTAAAAAAATATATAATAGATACAAGAGGCACATGGGCCACATCGCTTCCCTGAGCACTGTGGCTATAAAAACAGAAATCAGTTCAATATTGAAAAGTTTAAATCCCTAAGTGGTCCCAACCTATCCTTAAAGGGGAGGCGATTTTGCTTTGAACAAACTTGAATACATGTACTTGAATCTACACTAAGGGAGTTTGTATGTTTCTTTGACAAACTGTTGCTATTACCCTTTAAGTTTAAAGTAGCTAACATTTAGAAGAAGATATTAAAAGATTTTTCCTACATATTTCTATGTAACACTTTGATAGACCCTTGTGGCTACGCCGTAGTCCCGGGGGTCATGATTTGAACAAACTGGAATCTACACTACCTTAGGATGCTTTCATATAAATATTACAAATTATGGCTTTTCTGTTCTTGAAAAGAAAATCCTTAAAACAGTTCTTGTGAATTTCTTTGTAACACGTAGATCGTCCCTTGAGGCCACGCCCTACCCCGCGGGTCATGATTAAAAAAAACTTGAATCAACACTAGTCTACCTGAGCATGTTTCCTTTTCTTGCAAAACAGTTCTCGAGAAGAAGATTTTTAAAACATGCCACCAAATTTTCAAATTAATCTTCCCTAAAATGATGGCGTGACCCTACATTTGAACAAACTTGAATCTACTTCACCCAAGAATGCTTTGAGGCAAACTTGGTTAAAATTGATTCAGTGGTTCGGAAAAAGTCAAAATTATAAAAAAGAAATACAGACGCACGGAAAGACAGACGGATGACAGACAAAATGTGATCTGAGTAGGTCACGAGCTTTCAGCTCAGATGAGCTAGTAATCATTAAAATCGTTCTCGATGTGAACAAAAACAAAATATTTTTTGGTCGAAAATAAAATTAAGGTAATTCCATCCTCCCATGATAGTTTTTTTTCTTCAAAAACTGTAATTAAATGAAATTCAAATCCAATAGAACAATATATTTTGGAAGAATGATTTTCCATAGGTGTAATGATACATTTTGTTAAGTAAAAGAATTTTTAAAAGGGCACATTTTCTTTATTTAATCAATAACTCAATCTTTAAAAAAAATGTTGACAAGGGCAATAACTCCTGCTCAGGTATCTTCATTCAAGCATTTTCTTTATTGTACTTCTCATGTAAAATAGTTTTCCTGATATTCACAATTAAAAAGTATCTTATAAGTAGCAAGTATTTAGGAACTTTCAGCATCAGAATTATGTATTTGCATCAGTTTTTACATAATATATATTATGATACTGTTTACAAAAAATGTACGATTTTTACGCTGACATATTCTTCTGATAATTTACATCTCCCATCTTAAATAATATGGCGACCTATAAATTTTTGGCAATAATTGGTAAATTTCAACTTTATTAAAGGAAAATAAATTAAATATTTGTACTTTAAACCATTAAAACTGTGAGGGTGGAAACCCCTTAAAGATGGTCAATCATGATTTCCCATCTTCTTATTAAAGATTAGATAGGACAAAAAATACTACATAGTATATACGACAAACTCGTTCGCTCATTCAAAATAATTTTAAGCCCTTCACCGGTGTATGGTGAAGTCCCTACATGAGTGAAAAATTCTCGATTGGGACGTTTAACAACATACAATCAATCAATCAAAATAATTTATCAGTTTCTGAGCAGATTATCGGCAATATCTTTTTACCATGGGTACCAATTGCGCTCTGTTACCAGCAGACCTATTTTTGTATTCATACGAAGCAGAATTTGTGCAAAATCTTATGCATGGAAAGAAGAAGACGCTGCTGTGGCCTTCAACTCGATATTTAGATATATCGACGACGTACTGTCAATTAACAATGGTTATTTCCATTCCCATATATTGATACGATTTATCCTGGTGAGCTTGAGATAAAAGATACCACAGAGTCTAACACATCTGTTTCATACTTGGATATTTTTCTTGAAAAACACGTTACGGTTAATCTAACAACC